TGTGATGGACTATATTGATTGTTTTTTGAATGTTAAACTAGCCTTGCAAACATGGGATAAATCCCACTTGGTCATTGTGTGTAATCATTTTATGCATTGTTGATTTGGTTTGCTAATATTTTGTTGAGGGTTTTTGCATCTATGGTCATGAGAAATATTGGTCTGTAGTTTTCTTGTAATGCCTTTTTGTATTAAGGAAATGCTGGCCTCCTAGAATGAGTTAGGAAGTTTGCCCTGTGAACTCACTTCTTTAATGGATCCAAGAAGGGTTGTTCATTTTCAGTCTGTTCGGTTTTTAAATTGTTGTTAGGATGGAGTAGCGACTTCCCAGCTCCTCATATGCCAGACAGGAAACAAGCAACTCTGGTGACCCTTCCTAACTTCCACTCCCCCTCTCCTCCCCCAACCTTTTGGAGTAGGAACAGTCTGTCATGTATCACATGCTTGTCCCACCACTGTATTTTGGAAGCAGATAATTTGTTTTCTGGTTTCACAGATCAGAGATGGAGAGGAATTTTGCCCCAGATGGACCATACCAAGAGTCTCACCAATACTAGATTTAGATGATTCAGATGATGAGATCAGAGCTGATGATATTTAGATGAGATTTTGGATGAAGAGCTCTTATATAATGGGTTGAGACTTTTGGAGATGTTGGGATGGAGTGAATGTATTTTGTATGCGGGATGAATGTGAATTTAGGAGGAACAGCGGGCAGACTATAATAGGCTGAACTGTTGCCCTCAAAAGATATGTCCAATCCTAATTCCAGGAACCTGTAAATATGACCTACTTGGAAAATGTGTCTCTACATATGCAGTTAGGTTAAGAATCTTAAGATGAGCAGATCATGCGGGATTGCCTGGTGGATGCTAAATCCACTGACAAGTGTCCTTATAGGAAAGAGGCAGTGGGAATTTTGAGACAGACACACAGAAGAGGAAGAGGCAATGCGAAGATGCAGTGGAAATGGAGAGACGTAGCCTCAGAAGGTGGAAAGGCGGAAGAATTCTCCCCTAGAGCCTCTGAGGAGAGCAGGGCCCTGCCGACACCTTGATTTCAGAATTCTGACCTCCAGAATTGTGAGAGCTTAAATTCTGGTGTTTCAAGACACCCAGTTCATGGTATTTTGTTATAGCAGCCCCAGGAAGATCATACACCTTCTGCTCTTTTGTACAGTTTGCAGCCAGGCCAGGTGATGGGGAGAACCCACCCATGCTGAAGTCTGTGGACCCTGAGGGCAGAGTAACACGGAGACCCCACCCATGATGATGTTCCTGTGCTGGGCAGTGTGACAAGGGAGAGCTAAGCAAGCAAGAGTGGGTGGAGCTGTGAGCAGCCTCAGGCTAGCTTATGATGCCAAGAGAGCAGAGTGCTTACTTCATAGGACCCAGAGGTCAGAGTGGGCTTGAACGAGATGCAATGGTGTCTTTCCTCATGACCGCACACTCCAGCAAGCACACAGAGCGAGTGAGGCTCCAGGTTCAGGCACCTCCTGACTTGGGGTTAAGCTGGAGGGATCAGGACAGTGAGTGTCCCAGAGGGCATCTCACCGCCTCCCCAGCTACTGCTTCAACCCCTCTCTGTGACCCTCCTGCACCAAGGAAATGTCCTACATGAACAAGCCAATTGGTAAGAAAGGTGGTCTGAAAGTTTAGCAGGCAGCTACTGCTTCCAAAAAGAAACCAGTTTTCTATGAGATGGGGCATAAATGGGTGGGTTTGGATCTGTAAGTAACCTTGGCTCATCCAGACCACACCCACGACCTGGGACACTTTCCCTTCTCCCCACAGTCCTTCCTGTGGGTTTGCTCCTGTTGGGCAGTCAGGATCTCAGCAGCCCCCAGAGGCTTGAGTGCCGACCCTGGGTGGGAGTTAGGTGTTTGTTTCCTTGCCCATAAGAAAGGTAAACAGAGCTCCCCTCTGGGGAGCTTCTGTAAGCACTCAGAGCAAGGTAAGCACTCAGAGCAAGGCAAGCACACATGAGCAGAGTTGAGTGTTTGATTCACAGATGACCCACTTACTGGGCACTTGGGAATGGGATCCCTGGCCTTGCCCTTTGACCCATCCCTATCATCTTCATTCCCATGCTGCGCATCTCAATGCTGCCATCACATTAGGAAACAGACTGCCCTCTAGAGCGTCATTTCCATTGGAAAATGCAGCGCAAGGTCCAAACAACTACACCCAAGGGACTTCACAAGGCTGTGCATTCTCTGTTTTTCCTCACCTTCCATGGTGTGGGAGCCCAATGGCTGCACCTCACCTCCCACCCCTTTCCAAGGCATCTGCCCTGAGCCTCTAAAAAACAGCCAGCCTCATTAATCTCTCAGCACCAGCTCCATGGGCCAGGCGTGGGAACAGAACAGCCACTGCTGATGGGTGGAAGCAGCCTAAGAGTGTGGAGGAAGAGGCATCCTGGGACACCTGTGAGGCCCTGACCCTCCTTCATGTACAGCTGGGTTTCTGCACCCTGCCCTTTACTCATTCTAGGAAACATGCCCTAGATCTCCCTAACCCTCCGACCTCCAGAAGGGATAGATGGGGGAAGTGAGTTGCCCATTCCCTAGCTCACACTTGCCTCCCCAGGGTGAGACAAAGGGGCAGAGGTTGTGATAGGTGATAAGAGTAAAATCCAGAGGGCTCTGAGGAACAAGTGCTGCTTCAGACCTGGTGGGAGAACATGTTGGACAGTTAGTGTGGCACCAGTGCCCCCCAGGACAGTAGCCACTCATGATGGGATGGCCTGGACTTGGTTGCCTAACCAGCGAGAGCCCAGGACATGAGTCAGGCCCACAGAACACAGCCTTGACCATGGTCCTGCTCATAGCTCCCCAGCCCTGCAGCCTGGGTCTCCTCACCTGGACACTGCATGTGGCCCCTGAATGGCTCTCCTGGGCTGGCGAGCAGCTCCTGCTGTCTCTGAATCTATGCCTTCCCCACTCTGCCCATGCCAGTCTACTTCTCACTGAGGAAGCTGAGGGATGAGACTGAGCAGTCCTTTTGGGAAGCAGGACCACCCTAGCTGAAGGACCAACCCTGTGACTTTTCACTTTCAAAATGAATCAGGGAAAATTACCTCCTGAGCAAACCCACTGCTGTTCTTAGTTTCCAGATGGGTGCCAAAAGCTTGAGATATTATGTGGCTGTGGAAATCAGTTGCAAATGTGAAAACTGATTACAATTTGCAAGTGTTTCAAGTTTTATTCAAACCCATAGCTAATAATTAAACTGGGAGCAGTGAAAGGGGAGAGGGCTCCTCACAGGTGAGGCCAGTGGGGCCTTGGAGGCACCTGCTTGTCGTGTGGTCTCATGCCAGGGTTGAGGCCCCAATCAATAGAAGTGTCTCCAAGAGGCCATTTCATCAAACCCAAAACCAAAGCCCCCACCCCAACCGACTGCATATAGTTGAGTTTCCTGTGTTATTTGAAAATGTCTCAAGGATTTTTTTTTTTTTTTTTTTTGCGGTACGCGGGCCTCTCACTGTTGTGGCCTCTCCCGTTGCAGAGCACAGGCTCCGGACGCGCAGGCTCAGCGGCCATGGCTCACAGGCCCAGCTGCTCCGCGGCATGTGGGATCTTCCCAGACCGGGGCACGAACCCGTGTCCCCTGCATTGGCAGGCGGACTCTCAACCACTGCGCCACCAGGGAAGCCCTCAAGGATTGACTTTTGTTTTTTCCTCTCTCCTAAAATTTGTGTGTGTGCTGATTTGGGGGCTCCAGAGAAGATCACTTGTGGAAACCAGTACCTGCCATTTCCCATCTCACTCCCCTCTCTCTACAGTTTCCGGTTTCTGCCTTTAAAAGGAACAGGACTGACTTTGTGCCATCAGTGCAGGCTTTGAGGCTCTGAACAGCCGAGCACAGTCAAGAAACAAGGTGGTAGGGGTCTCCCAGCCTATGACCGGTATGTTTGCTGTAAGCATCTTTGCTGCAAGCATTTCGGTCACACAACTAATTGGCTGTATGGCAATTGTGCCATAAAAGATAAAGTAACTAATTCACAACAGTCTTTAAGAGCATTATCGATTCTTTAGCTAATTTAGATATGGCAGCTTGTTCTCTAATGCTTTCTTTACCAAACTTATGCAATATTAGAAGTCGGAGGGAAAAGAAGAATCTAGGACCTCCTATCCCTCACAAAAATAAATGGTTACGTGATTCCTGATGGGCATAAGTTTCTTGAAAATGGTGAAACGTTTTTGCTATTTGATAGCGGAGTACGTGATGTAACCAGAATTTTGGCATTTGGCACAGATCTTGCTTAGATGATTTGGTTAAATATAAGAACTGGACATGTGATGGAACATTTAAATGTAGTCCAGATATGTACTACCAGTTATACACAAGAAATATATTGATAAGAAATAGCATCCTTCATCTGTTATTTTACTTCCAGAAAAACCTGAAGAGACAACAGATTTTTTTATATCGTAAAGAACTTATTTACAATTGACATTAGATCCTGAATCCCTAATGACTGACTTTGAGAAAGGAAGTATCATCACTTCCTCTAAGTTATACCCAAATACAACTATAACCATGAATCTACACACATTTTAATTGTATTAAAATATTTTTAGTATTTTCATTTTTCCACAATAAAATCTTTTAAAGATTTTGTCATTAATTTTTCATGTTTCATTATGCCATTTTTGTCTTTTTCATTATGCCCTTTTTATTTTTTATGGCAAAAATACCCAGAACCCTCCCAGCCGCAACCCCAGGCTCAGCTTTGGCCACCAGCAGCAGTGGCATGTGAAGAGCTCAGGCCATGCTTGAGTTTGGGGCTGAGGAGGGAAGTAAGTTGCCCTCCAGGACAGACAATGCTGGACAACTTTATGTGAAACCTCAAAAGGAACACACCCACCTGGGCAGGTGACTACAAAGCCCTGCGGTCTGTTCTCCTATGGTCTGCAAGCTAAGGACACGTCTGAATTTTCAAATGGTTGAACGAAGAAAATCAAAACAAGAATAACATTTCAGGACACATGACATATATGAAATTCTAATCTCACAGGTAGTTTTACTGGAACATAGCATGGCCATTTGTTCACAACAGACACCATATGGCTTGAAAGATGAAGTATTTTCTACCTGACCCTTATATAGAAACAAAACAAACAAAAGGATCAGCCATTTTTGATGAAATGTCAAAGCAGTTTCATTTCAGCTCAATATTGGTCTCACAGCTGCATCAGACGTGGGTCTTGTATTCTGCCCACCTCTACAGAGTGTAAAACTGAGCTCAAAGTGTTACATGTTTTAGGAAGTACAAACACCTTACGGGGTGACAACAAACTAACATAATCCCCTCATAATTCCCTCAGTCACAGGCTAAACAGCGGCAAATAGAGTTTGGTACTCATGTGGGTGAGCCTGACCCCACACATAAACCCAATGTCAATGTTAGAGGACATACTCCACATCAGGAAAGTAAAAAACAAAACAGGACACACAATAGGTCCTGATCCAAACACCAGCGATGATGATGCCAACAGGCTCAGTGTGCCCTTCCTGCCACTCTCCAGAGGGTCTACTCACCTGATGGGATCCACTTGGTTCTAAGCATCATGGCACTTACCACCTGGGCTGCCTGAGGATGGCAGGAGAGATCACCAGCCTACCTGCTCATCTCCTTCCCCTGGTACTGCTTCTAGGAGCATCATAATATCTGTTCCCCCTCGTGTCCTTCCCATGTCTGAAGTGTGGAGGCAGAGTCAGTGCACCATAAGTTGAGGGAGCAATGGGAGGTGGAATTAGCGCAACTGGGGTGGGGAATCAGTGTGCCGTGGGAATCAATGCCTGGTGTTATACGGTTCCTGGCAATTTTGTTTCAGCCTTGGTGACTAACAGTTTGGCACATGGATTTTCTGCTACTGGAAGGGGTTAAGGTTAAAAAAGTTAACTCTAGGGCCAAGGTTAAAAAAAATAGCATAAAATGGCCCCTGATGGCCTTTTTTTTTTTTTTACACTGTTAAGTCTCCACATAAACAGACCATAGTCTCTATCAATTTAACTATTCATGGGAGAGAAAAGGCCTGGAGAATAATCCTCTAACAGTACAATGTCTTCTGTACCACACACCTTCATGCCCAGAGTGTCTGGGCTTTAGGCATCCCCAGGTGATGGATTAGGAGAGCGTGAGGCCCAGAGAGCTCAGGGCTTGCTCCTGGCGAGGGATCACCAGGAGTCCTGGCCCCCTGCTTTCCAGAGGCCTGTTAGCAGCCGAGGTGTGTACAGCCCTGATGCCACATGAGTGCTGGGTGGTATCTGTATTCAGGACAAGCAGAGGCTGGCTGGCCGCTGGAGGCTGCACTGGGAACTCTTGAGCAGTGCCCACCTGGATTCAGAAGAGCATCATGAGTGGGACAGATTCGTTTTCATTTCAGCTGTTCAGGGCTCTCTAGAGCTAGATGTAGAGAGAGAGCAGGTCTAGTGGCAGTAAGTCACCTGGCCTGTGGATCTTCCCCTTCTGCTCATTAGAAACATCTGGGTAATGTATATACCCTCAGAGATTCTGACTGAGGGGTCTGGGGTCAGTGCACGCGTGTGTGCGTGTGTTTGTATCTTCTGAGTTCCTGGCATGAGCCTAGTGTGTGGCCACGGTGAGAACCACATACTCTACCTCAGGGGAACTCCCTCTTCATGGGCTGCTGTGAGAAGCTACAGTATTTGGGCGCAGCCTGCACACCTGCACTTGCCCTGTGCCCAGGGCACGAGCTGCCTTTCCTCCAGCATTCCTCCAAGTTCCCTAGGGACGTGATCCAGCTGCCGCTGCCTCTAGGCATGAGCTCTCAATAACTGTCCTTGTTGACACATCTTCACACCTGCCGTGTCCTCCCCGACCTCCCTGTCATCAAGCACTAGAAGGGGCTGCATGGGGCTCAGACCCCCTGGAATGACCATGAGCTCCAAGAGCTCCATCACTTGATGTGCCAGGAAAGGTCAAGAGCAAACTGCTCACATGCTGCATTAGCGTGAGAAACCTTGACAGAACAGGTCCACCTGTCATTTTGGAGGTTAGTAAGTACTAACCAAGTAAGACAAACAGAGACTAGGAATATAATACACCAAATTGCAAAACAGTAAAGAACTGAAAGACCCCTATGAACATTACTTTCTAAAAGTGCTACTTTCCATGTCTTTTTGGAATGGGTCAGCTATGACAAGGCTGGGCATCCCTAGGTGACCCGAAATTCATACTCACTGGGAACCTCTGAATGTGACCTTATCTGGAAATGCGGTCTCTGTAGATGTCATCAAGGTAAGGATCTCAAGATAAGATGACCTTGGATTAGGATGGATCCTTATAAGAGAGAGGAGAGGGAGATTTGAGACACAGAAACACAGGAAGATGGCCACATGACGATGGAGGCAGAGACTGGGGTGATGTGGCCATAAGCTCAGGGATACATGGAGGTACCAGCAACTAGAAGTGGCAGGAATGATCCTCTCCTAGAGTCTCCAGAAGGAGCACAGCCTGCCTACACCTCGATCCTGGACTTCTGGCCTCCGGAAGTGCATTCCTATTGTTGTAAGCCTCTTGTTTGTGGTACTTTGTTGGGGCAGCCCCAGAAAACTTACACTGCCTCTGTGAATTAATTCTTAAAACGATCCAGGACTTAGTATGCAAGTGGAGTGGTGCAGCAAGGCAGCACAGGGCTTGCGAGCGCCATCCCAGGAGGGCTGTAGGAAAGGCGCTTCAAAGTAACATCTCTACAAGGTCTAAATGAGCCTCTCTGTGCAAGGTTCTTTGGGATGCTATTTCAAAGCAGTCTGGAGGTGGCTTGTTGTGAGAATCGGGGGAGGTCACCCACTTCTCTACTTTCCTCTTGTCTCCCCATGAGGGGCTCTCCCAGGGACACACTAAGATACCCAAAACCAAGCAAAAAGCAGCATCAATGCATAGCTTCAAAAAATATTCTAAAGCAAGCATTTCTCTTTTGTTTCCGGGTAGAAATGGGGCAAAAAAGCAAAAATTAACACTTTTTAAAATAGGTGCAGTATGTACTATTTTCATGTTTGACTAAAAACTGAGCAGTGAAAATATTTCAGGTGCTTATAGGATGACCTTGAGGTATACTAGACTCAGCTTTGGTTCGAAATTATAATACAACCAAAAAGAAACTGACCTGTTCACCAAAGAAAAATGGAACAAAGTGAAGGCAGTGGGGTCTGTGCTGAGCAGCCCATGTAGGAGAGGCAGGCTCAGACCTGAATGTGATCCTGGAGAAGAGATTTTGCTGACATAGGATATGCCTAGAGTGTTCAGATAGGCAGAGGGTTAGAAATAAGTAGATTTCTTTCACAGAGACTTAAACCAACCTTTTTATGCTTATCAAGAATGGAGAAAGGATGAAAATGCAGCTAGTTGTGCCACTGGAGACCTGGGATTGTGGCCAAGCAAAGTGGTCCCTGAGTGCTGGGTGCAGCCCACCCTCAGAATGAAGAGCCGCCTTGCTGTCGTGGCCACCTCAATAGGGCTCAGCCCATGTTTGAATGCGTGTGTGCTCCTGACTCCACAAGCAGCCCGAGAGGGCCTTGGGAGGAAGCGGCTCGCTGTATTTGCAGGCAGAACTCCTCTCCTTCAGCTGCACTTTCAGCTCCTTGCAAGGGAATCCCTTGGTGGAAGCCACAATCACCCCAAGCTAAGCTGCTCACAGCTGTCAACAGCAGCCCTTCACCCTGAGGCAGCTGTGCACCTCCTGGGGCAGGGCTCTTGGAATGACTTCCTGGGGTCTTCATCTCAAAAGAAGCATGCAGGAGTTGAGAACAACGTACTCAGAGAAGTGATTCTCAACAAAAGCAGTCACCTCTATGCTTTCTTGTCCTTCTAGGTCAGTTTTTTCACTCGTCGATTATGCTTGTCAATGGTTAAGGTTGTCCGGTCCACAGCTGCAGTGATGCCATCCAAGGCCTCATCCTGTCTCTCCAGCTCTGATTCGGCATCCAACGCGAGATCTTTTAGTTTCCTCAGGATCTGCAAGGGAAGCACAAATGATAGGAGGGGTGCCTTTTCTTATACTCTCAAAAACAGACAATATTTCTTTCTGTTATTTTTACAGTACTTAAGAAAATTTGTAAGTCAATGGGAATGATGAACACTCTGAGCAGAGCCAGAGCTTGCAGCTCTGACCCTGGGTTTGGGTCTCAGCTCTGCCACTTTCTGGCACTGACCTTCAGCGAGGTAGAGCTGTTGGAAGATGATGTATTTGCTCTCTGGCCCTGCTCCAAGCCATAAGCAAGGAGATTGACCACACAGCCCCAGGAGATGCACCCCTGCGGCACTGCTGTTTCCAACCCACGGTTTGCTGTTTCACCAACCCTGACAGCCTTGCTGGGAATGTTACCACATCCACGTGGAATTCCTGCAAACAGTAGCAGCACAGGGCAGAACCAGGGATCTGGATCCTACAACTCAGATCTGAGTTCCAGCTCTCACCCAATCATTGTTTTCATTACCTTTCTGCATCCAAGTGCCTAACTGCAGACTGAAGCTGGAAAAACAAAATTTAAGAAGAAAGGCAAAACACTTTGTCTATATGTTTGAAATATTTCACATACAAATACAAAAGGCAGAACAAAACACAGCACAAATAACCCAAGGTGATGAAGCAGTTACACAACATAACCCCGTGGGCCTACTGAGAAAAACTGGGAGATGGCAGGGTTCTGTGGAGAGGCAAAAAGGATATCTGTGGGCGCAGACACGTGGAGGACACTCAGAAATGCCATAAACACACAGTGATGCCACAGGTGAGGATGGCGCCCACAGCGTGGAGGGCTGCTCCAGCATGGCTAGACCAAGGGAGTCGACCAGGCTGGATGGCAGCTCCTCGTCCCCATTTCTGTGACTCATGTCATACTTCATACAGTTTCATAAACTAGTTAAGAGCAGCACTGTATTACAATTCTATTGGGACTAGTTGCATTGTGAAATGTACTTTAATTACATACTTACTGAACCTTGGTTTAAAAATTTAATATCCCCAAGCCGAAACAAAAAGTAATGATTTTAAGAGAAATCTTAATGACCAACTACTTGCAGTAAATGTTAATACCTCTTTTCTTTTAGGGAAAGTTTCAGATCATTGGTTAGGTCAAGAAAAAGGAACTGCAGAAATCTGAATTATTAAGATGAGCCCTTGGTGCCCTGCTTACTAACTCCCAGTGGATGAACCTGCCTACAGATCCATTCAAAGTCCTTTATCACACAGGGATGGATGTTACTAGTGAACAGCCTGGGTGACCACCTCAGAGGACCCCAAGTGCAATCTATTGATACTATATCATACTCCACACTGAAATCCTGCCCCCTGCTCCCAGAGGTCCCACCAGGTGACACAGGCAAGAAAGCTCTAGGTTCCACAGGAGGCCTGGGACAATCCTGAGCAGTGCTACTGCCGAGAAAGGAGGCCACACCTCAAGGAGAGTAAACTGTACCCGTGTGGTGTCTCAGAAGGTATAATGGTACCCGTGAGGTCAAATGGAAGCAGCTCTGTGCTTAGAATCAAAAGGAATTCCTGACCACCTGGCCCAGCACCCACTGCCTGGGAGAACTGCTTCATCTGATTAACAAGAAACCATAAAGGCAGGGCGATGGCCAGGAGGATAATAAGATCAACTCCTGCCCTAAGAATGGTGAGGCTCAAATGAGATCACAAATGTGAACAAGCTGTGAAAACCATGAAGTGCTATGTAAGGTGCCGCCGCCAAGTCTTAGAACACTCAGACTGAAGGAGCCCAGCAAAGCACCCCCACTTTTGGAGGGGGATGTGGAGATGAGGTGAGCAGGGGTCATCCGCAGTCATCCGCAAGTTAGTGACAGAGGTGGGATTCACCCCCACATCTCTCTTTGAACAAAGCATCATCGCTGGGATCTTCGTCATGAGAAAGAATAAATCCAGATCCAAGTTAGCTGTCTCAGACACCACCTTTCTGCACCTTCTGGGAGCTGGTGGAAACTCCATCAGTTGAGTCACTTGAAAAACTGGACGGAGCTCTGGAAAGTACACTGTGGGGTCAGTCAGCTCTGGAGGGGATGGGCTGGATGACCTAATACAGGAGGTCTTTTCCATCTCTCATTTCTATGATCTCATATGGCTGAGGCCCAGAGAGCATAATAAAAAAGTCACCACTCATCACTATGTTAGGCAGGTCCTTCCATGCTGTTCTCTCTGGTCAACTATTCCTTCCTCATTACCTCCATTTTAGTGTGATAATAAGGCCGTTCTACCAGGAACTTGCATAAAATGTCCCCTTTGTCACACACCTGCATCCGATTTGACACCCTCGAGGAGGGTGTCAAATCTCTCTCCTATGTTGAGTGATCAGCCCGCACAGACCTTGCGGCTCTCTTTGCTACCTCTACATCCTTGTCAATCATATCAAAATGTGGTCAAGTTTATTTTCAATTGAACTGTCTTTCAGGACCACCAGATTCTGAACTGTAAACAATCAGTGTTTGCACGTGCACTGATGGCAGGAGATGGGCTTTCAGCAAGGCAGCCATGTATTCCCTTTAGTGCACACAGATAGTCAACTGTCCTGTTCTGTTCCGATAATTACAGTGCACATAGAAAACCAGGAAACAGAACTTAGAGGAGAAAATAAAATTCCTCCAAAATTCAAACGCAAATTACTGCCTATCAGATAAGCACTGCTGATAATATTGTGTGGCCTTTTCATCTTGCTTTCTCATCCCAACATCCGTACACTTTCAGAGAAAAGAAAAACTGGGGACTAAAGTATATATATATATACATGGTTTTGTTTTCTGTTTCCTCATCCTCCAGTTATCCTAAATAAGGATAGGAGATATGAGACCCCTGCAATGTGCCCTAATTATTCCCTGTTGATCCTCGATCTAACTCTGTTTCACAGATGAGGTTGAGAAGGGTGGGTGACTTGCTCAAGCTCTTGGGGTCCAGCTCCCGGAGCAGCCCTGACATGACCGTTGAGTGGACAATAGATGTCATGGCCATGACTCAGAGGTCACATCACCGAGACACTGAAAGAAATTGCCTAAGACCCTTAAAAAATGGCAAAAGGGCTCCCACCAGGAATAGGCAGTCCATTCACACACCCCAGAACCTGTGCCAGCTCTTAGAGCCCTGAGCAACTGTGGCAAGATGTCCAGTTAGGGGAGAGCCATACCTGTAATTTCAAATTTTCTAATAAAAAGTAAATAGTAATTAATTTTAATAATATATTTTATTTAAACCCATCAACCCCAAACATTATCATTTCAACATGAAGTCAATATAAACAATTATTAATGAGATATTTTATATTCTTTTTTTATATGAAGTCCTAGCAAGCTAGTATGAACTTGGACCAACTGCTTTTTTTTTTTTTTTTGCGGTACGCGGGCCTCTCAGTTGTGGCCTCTCCCGTTGCGGAGCACAGGCTCCAGACGCGCAGGCTCAGCGGCCATGGCTCACGGGCCCAGCCGCTCTGCGGCATGTGGGATCTTCCCGGTCCGGGGCACGAACCCGCGTCCCCTGCATCGGCAGGCGGACTCTCAACCACTGCGCCACCAGGGAAGCCCCAACTGCTTTTTTTAAATAAATGTATTTTATTTATTTATTTATTTTTGGTTGTGTTGGGTCTTCATTGCTGCACACAGGCTTTCTCTAGTTGTAGCAAGTGGGGACTACTCTTCATTGTGGTGTGCGGGCTTCTCACTGCGGTCGCTTCTCTCGTTGCAGAGCACAGGTTCTAGGTACGTGGGCTTCAGTAGTTGTGGCAGGCAGGCTCAGTAGCTGTGGCTCATGGGCTCTAGAGTACAGGCTCAGTAGTTGTGGTGCACGGGCTTAGTTGCTCTGCAGCATGTGGGATCCTCCCGGACCAGGGCTCGAACCTGTGTCCCCTGCATTAGCAGGCAGATTCTTAACCACTGTGCCACCAGGGAAATCATGGACCAACTGCTTTTTAAGTGCTTAGTAGCCAGTGGCTACTGTGCCAGGTAGCACAGGACCACATCACCACATGATAGCACTTCCACCAAGGGCCACTTTGTGTGACTGACCTTATGTGTCCTACGTTTCCATGGCCATCTTTCTCTAGAGAATGAATCAACTGCCTCTTTCCAAAATGAAACAGTGGCAAAAGCAAGAACACCTACATTCCTGAGTCTACACTTAATAAGCACAGTAATAAAAGGCACATACAACTTATTTTGTAAGAACTGCTGACATGCCTACAAACGTTGAGCATTTTACTGAGTGTACAGTCCAAATAAAGGCTGGTTCCTGTTGAATTTCATTTGGAAAAAGCTTCACTGAGATGATGGCCTTAAAAATAGCACCCATTCTATGCAGCCTGTTGAGACCCTTGGTTGGTCTGCCAAAACTGCACTTGAAATTAATTAATACCACAAAAATATAAACGAGATCTTTACAGCTACTAAGTCTGCAAAGAAAATTACTGAGTAAACTTTCAAACTACTAGTACCGCTGGAATATTGGTCCAGTGTCTTTTTCCTTTAAGAAAGGGACTGAAGTAATTAAATGGCATCGTGTGCATTCCATATAACATGGGATGGAAAGAATGGAGAATATGAAGTCTGGCCAAACCTTAAAAACAGTTGTTACTTCTGTGGCCCAGGATGACAAGCTGTCTAGTCATCAATGTATGATGTTGCCAGCCTCTGGAATATCAACTGGCCTCTCAGATGAGACTTCGCTGGGCTCTGAGTCAAAGACCAGGGTCAAAATGGACTTTTCCCCAAGTTTCTGCTCCACTAATAAATAAACCCAGCAGCCAGCCATCTTTCCAGCCACATTTGTACCTACACAGAAATTACCTGATTAATAGTACATTGAGTTGTAGGAGAAACTAACTCCAAAGAAATATATAATGCACATAACCACAAGTTAAGACATAAAAACATACATGCCAATACCTCTGGGAGCAGTATCTTGGAAATAAAGCCCAGAGAAACACTCAGTGCTCTTCAGCTCAGGGGTCACAGGCGCT